TGTGTGTGTGTGTGTGTGTGTGTGTGTGTGTGTGTGTGTGTGTGTGTGTGTGTGTGTGTGAGAGAGAGAGACGAGAGCGTGGTGTGAAGGAAAAGGGAGAAACTGGAGCAAGTGTGAACCAGAGAGTGATGCAAAGAAACAAACAAAAATAAACAAGCGTACGTCGTGCCAAGCTCAAGTCAAAAAAGGACAGACTGGTGCAGTGCTATTTGGTGATTCATGTCAACTGAAATATGAATCATATTCACAAAAAGTAACAGCATAGACGTTGCTATTCTCTTACTTCCTGGACATTAACATTGTGATACACTGTGTACCCACTAAGAGAGGACCGACACAAGACACGTTTGTTTATTTTATCTGAAAGTCTTAAAATAAAATGCACTCGTCTGAATTTTTGAATTCCTTGAACCAATCAAAATCGTCATGGGCGGACCTAAACTACACTTAAGTCAGCGGTGCATGTAGAAAATGGCTAGATGGGTATTCAATTTTGAACATGGACAGTAAACTCCTGCTGTATCCCAATTAGATCGCTGACATATTTTTGATTTCAACCTTTGGGAGCGAATGTTAAAAAATAAATAAATAAATAAAAAATAAAAAATAAAAAAATAGCGCTGCTCTGTCTGAAGCGTTTAAGTGCACCAATGCTGGGAAATAGAGCAGTGGTTTATCCTGATGAGTGCGTGCGCAACAACTAGCACAACGACACTGAAAGGCATGGATGCATGTGTTTTGATGCTTCATTTAGAGAACCTGCAATCAGCGAAATTACGTCCAAATGGAGGGTTTGATCTGTGTTTGCGTGTGTCGTGCATACAGTATATTCATATCAACCGGAGAAAGTGGAAAAGGTCAGAGAGAGCCGGACCCCGATGCAGAGCAGCTCATGTGATTTATGGGGTAAATAAATGGGATCACTGTAGGCACGGTAACAGGATCCCTGAAGGAGGAGGGAGGATTAGTCCGCGGTGGTAATGGGCTCCATGGTATTCTGTTGGGGGGGGGGGGGGCCAGCATGTTGGTAAGCTGCCACTGTAAGAGAGCCACTCCTACTACAACACACAACAATCTGACAAGTGTGTGTGTGCGCGTGTGTGTTTTATGACTTACACAAACTGAGCAATAAAACTAGAGTAGCCAATGGATACATGCACGTCTAAGTAGGAACTCCAGAGGAGGAACCGAGAGTTTAGGGGCCTGAAATGGTGACGGCGTGCCGCTGCAGGTACCTGAGAGAAGTCCTGTTTTACAGCTACAGTTGGGAACTTTAGTGAACGCAACTTGTCGTCATATGTGCTCAAAATGTCACTGTATCCTGACAGTAGTACGGGAGACCGGTTCCTCTGCCTCCCCCTAGAGATCCTAATGGCACTTGCAAAGATTCCACCGGGCCGTCATGCTACTGGTTACCGGCCTTGTTTGAGTTTTATTTCCAAAGTCATGTGATGTCAGTTTCATATTTAAGTGTCTTTTGAAGAAAGAAAAGGTGTAGATCCACCTGTAGGTGCTGCTAATCCCTGCAGAGTTATTGTATGATGGGTTTATTTTTTGCAACATTAACTCTTTACATTTTTTTTTTTTTCTTACTGAAAGTACTTTTTACATTCAGATGAACTCGCATGACATTTCGGTTCAGACCAAGAACAAGATTATACAGAAAATGCCTGCAGTCTGCAAAGGGATTCGCACTGCCGGGCTTAAAAAGTCACAAGGCATATTAGCAGAACGGTGAAGACAGAGCGAGAGAGACAGAGACAGAGAGAGAGAGACAGAGACAGAGAGAGACAGAGACAGAAAAGACTGGATGAGAGATGGTGAGGGAGGAAAGAAACCGGAGCGAGATAGAGACCTAAAACGCTCCAGGAGCCCGTCGCATGGGGCCCGAAGCCGCACGGCTCAGCACTCTTCCTCTCTGTGTTCTGTCCGCTGCTGACATTTATCTGCTTTATTAGATTATCTGGGCTACATGGCTGTCTCTGGGCGCGCGCACGCGCGCACACACACACACACACACACACACACACACGCCTCTAGATTCATTACAGCGCTAACTGCTTACTTAGGTTTATGCCCTCTTTAAATTAAACCACAGATAACCGAGCGACTCTGAAAACTCCCGCGCCCCTAACGCGGCGAGGAGAGGCTCAAGCCGGCCATTGAGGAGGAAATTAAGAAACACTGTTTGCGAGCATATTATCATGCATGTGTGAGTGGTCATAAGGTTGGTTTTCTATAGGGACTCTGCTTCCCGTCATTAGTAATTCAATTTGCTCTTTATTAGCAGCTCTTATCGGAGGCACAGACGGCCACAAGCAGCTTTCCTCACTCCATCTTCCTCTGCACTCACCCCTGCTCCACCTTTCCCGCGCCTCCGATTTGGAGTTCCCCCCCCCCCCATCTTTAATTAGAGACGCTTGTGTTCCTGCTGCGGGCCATTCAGGGTCCCCCCAAAAAATGTTAAAAGCATGAGGAGAAATGATGACGGGGGAGGGGGAAGAGGACGTAGGTGGTGTGAGAGAGGACACATGGAAAAAAAAGTTAAAGAAGCAGAAAAAGAGAGGCGGACTGATGGACGCAGAGCCATTGGGACGAATAAAGCCTAATGTTAATACTGATGGCTTTTCTAATGTCTTCCGACTTCATTGAGTGTGGGAGATTACCCCAAGATGGGCACGAGGCGTGTAGGGTACACGCAGAATGACCGGAGGGTTGGAGGGGCAAGAGGGAGGGAGGAGGGGGAGGGGGGGCTGTAAAAAAAACAATGATTGCTTTCCATCAGGTTAGGCCTATATTCTACAGTTCGTTAAAACAATCCAATTTGCAAAAGGATAATTATGCATTAGCTCCTCTTTTTATCTACTGGAGGGCGAGCGGTGCCGGGGCTTGATAGCAGCGGCGCTGCCCGCCTCCACCTCCGCAAATTACCCGCTATCGGCACTTGTTTGCCATCACGGCTGAATTGGGCAATCAATTAACCTCCCCCCTCCTCCCCCACTTAGAGCCTCCCTACTGACAGCCAGCAACACAAAGCCCACTCAAGGAGCACATGGATGTTAGCTTCTGCCCTCTACTGGAGACAGCTGCAACAGCAGCTGTCAAGAGACGCTTTCTCCCAATTCCATACTACATACCAGTTATGTGGTGCGCTCACACTGGAAACAAAAATAAAGTATGCTAATGAAAAAAAATTCGGTATGCAGGAATCAAAATCTCAGGTTGATTGAATGGTCAGCACGTGCACTACATTGTTTCCTATTAGAACAACATTGTAAAATAGTGATTTCTCGTGAACTGACTAAAACAATGTACTACAACAATAAGCAGTGGTACAAACGATACTCTAGTATGTAGTGCAATAACACTGGGGCACAACGTAAAGAGGTTGACAGAGAGAGTTGCAGCAAAGATATTTAACGTCTGTATGGACGGTGAGAGACAGAAAACGGTGCCCTCTGAGGGTTCAATGTGTGAGGATGCCAAGGCCGATCAGTGAGTCTGTGTTTTCTTTAGGTTGTCAGAGCCTAATGCAAAATCACACACAAACAGATATACATCTATATCTATATAGATATAGATATATTATTTGTGACTTGAGAACTTGAGTGCCTGATGGACAGTTAAAACAAGTTGTCATAGCACCACCAGATGGTCATACAGTGTAGTTCTTATGGACTGAGCAGTGGGGTTCAGCTGTGTGGTTGCTCAGATCCACGTGCTTGTAAGTGAGGAAGAATATAAAAAATGTGATTCGTCAGAAATAACTACAAGGTTCCATCATTTCTACTATAAGCCAGTTAGACTAGCCGGGTTAGATATGTTCTCTCTTAACCGCGCAACAGTATTTTCCACGGATGAGCATTAGCATTCAGAGCCCTCAGTCGTGGTAAACTCGAGAGAGAGAGAGAGAGAGAGAGAGAGAGAGAGAGAGAGAGAGAGAG